CACTCATTATTCTAACTTTATAGATTAAAAAAGTATTTTAATAACCAATAACGTAAAGAAGTTTTCAATGAACTTTATCATAATAGTAAAATAGCATATGCCTACCAGTAAAAAAATACTTTACTGATCTCGGATGTAACGTTTTAAATCCGTAAAAGAATTTCACCATAGAAAAAAAATGACGATAGGGATAAATGATAAATGCTTTAAAATGTAATAATAAATAGTAAACAATAGCCAATAATAATGTTAGAGATAGCAAGATGGTAATAATAGTAATCATAAATAATATTATTATCAACGATAACGATAACAGATTAAATATGTATAATCATTTATATGTTATATATCATGACTGATAATATTATAACGAATAACTATTAAATACAAAAATATAAATAAATAAATATATATATGAATATATAATATATAATATATTTAATATATATAATATATATATATATATATATATATATTTATTATTATTATTATTAAACGTATAAAAAGAACAATGTCACCCTCGGCGTTGATAATGTCACCTTACGTATGTGTACTACATGTAAGATATTCTAAGATATCCAAAGATAATAAATTTAAAGATAGGAAAAAAGACATTTAAAGCTTATTGACATGTTTGACATATATTTAAAAAAAGAAAATTTCTGGTCTCATTGAAAACTTTAAAAAAACCTACAATTAAAAACCCGGGATTTCCAATAAGCCGCTTACGTAGTATATGACAAGCTGACAAGTGGATGACAAAAAATAAATTTCGTATAACTTGTATAAATAAATATAAATATTATTATATATATACGTATATATATTAAATATTAAGTGTATAAATAGGTATATTTTTTATTAAAACTAAGGATAATGCTTCACAAAAACCAGTTAGTCAATCAAAACGGGGAAAAGGTGGGGGATTTTCAAGGTACTCACGTAATCGAAAAAGAAATTTAAAATCATTTGACGTGCTAATATGTTACGTTACATTTTTTTTTTCTAAATATAAATAAATATACAGTACATATAATATATATCAATAAATATACAGTACATAATATATATCAACATATAATATATTATAATATATATCGACATATATTGATATACATGATATATACATATATACATATATATATATACAGTATATACGTACAGTGTAATATATACAATATATATAAGTGTGCACATGTATAACGTTAAATTATTTAGATCAAATATATATTCAAGATTAACTTTATTAAGAGTTTTCATCGTACCTTTGAAGGAAAAATGATCAACTTGGAGAACCAAAATACTAGTCTTATTACGGATTCATTTAGACCTGATTCAATATTAGACCTAATTCACATACAATACAATGGTAACTAATTCATTTGTATATAATATAAAAAAAAAATTTTTTTTTTTTTTATTTATTTATTAAATTTTACTAATGTAACTAAATGTACTAAATGTAACTAAATGTACTAAAGGTAACTAAATGTGACTAAATGTAACTAAATGTAACTAAATGTAACTAAAGGCAGTTAAAGGTAACCAAAGGCAATAAAGAAAGATTAGATAATCAAATATGATAGTCATTTATAGTATTAATTATGAGGATGAAATTAACGAAAATGGAAACTCGATAGGCACTCATGAAAAATTCATGAAAATTCATGAAAATTCATGATTAAAAGATGAATTCGGACAAATTCGGCATTTATCAAACAATTATCAAACAATTAATTCATTAAAAAATTGATATTCTTTGTCTCCACATTTGTTCATATCACCAAGGTAGGAAAGCGAAATGCTTTGTTTTAGAGAGTACCGCGATTTTCAAGAAACATTTCATTCGATGCCAACGTGGTTACTCAACTTATTGATAATTCGTTTTATGCGGGAGACTTTTTCATATAAAAGAAGCATCGCGCACATCGTACCTGACACCTGGTTATTAATCACCGATTCGCATTAGAACAATATATAAAACATATATAATTATGATAATGCTGAAAATCAACATAAAATACTTTTTTCCGCATGATCTTTTATCATTTTAAGCAAATTTGGTCATCACCTGCTTAATCATGAACCTAATCAGATCTCAATCTTTATGTAGGGTTCATGCGTCTATGTAGTACATTTATGTAGTAATTCTTTAAATGTTTGATTTCCAATGAAATTCAAGAATCAAATGGTTTGCTGCTCGATATTAATTTTTGTTTACAAATGTTATAAATGTTATTTATTCTTTACATTTTATATTATTATTTTATAATATTAATTAAAGATTAATATCAATAGAAAATCTTAGACAAGCTATAAAAATAACGATGACTCAAAATTAATACAAAAAAAAAAAAAATTAATATATATGAAATCATTAACTCTTTTTTTGGGAAGATAGATGGTTTTAGTGAAAATAACGAAAAGCCAACCCGATTTATTTCGAAATTGATTAAAAAAGGTGTTGAATACGTAACCCGTGGGAGACCTAATATTTTAATTTGGAAAGTGCCCGAATCTCGCGAACTTGATAATGTATCGAATTGACCATGAATTTTTTAAACAATGATCAAATTTTTAGTCTTTGTTAAAAAAAAAAAAAAAAATTTGAATCTTTTACCTATTTTTTTTTTTTTCGATTCAATTCATAGGTTATTGCAATTTATATTTATGTAATTTACAATTTGTTTAACCTAACATTTATTTAAAATTTGTATAATCTACAATTTGTATACAAGTTACTAAAGTTACTAATAACACATTAATAATATATATACTAATCATGTACTAATAATATACTAATCAATCATGCACTAATAATATACTAATCAATCATGCACTAATAATATACCAATCAATCATGTGCTAATAATCAATCATATACTACTAATAATACTAATTAATAATTTATTCAAACCTCTATCAGGTAATTCGAGTCTTCATAGTAACAAAGAAATAATAATAATCAAAAAAAAAAAAAAAAAAATTTGTAATAATTGTAATAAATCTAGAACTAGGAGGTGAATTTTATATCAACCAATCATACTTTAAAAATTGTTGATCTGCTTTTTGATTTGTTCGCATTTGCGTGCGTTTTTTAATCTGATTCGATCATGTTCTGATCACAAGATTCAAATAATAGCCGCAGAAAATCTTTTCAAATACAAATGAACGACTTTTAAAAGTATAAGCATTTTTAAGTGAAACAATAAAATGTACCAATCAAATATTATCAAATAATATCATAAAGTGTAGGATTGTGATTTATTACCATGTATACCGGGGAGCATATTTTAATGATCCGATTTATTATTTGATCCGCAAATGCGCCTTGAACATCAAAGACATAAACAGTATTTCCACATGAAAAAGATTAATTTATCCGATATGAACTCTTTGGTTTTATGACCACGATCTTTTCTTAAAGGATACGTCGATCCTTTCTTATCGATCCGGGTAGTATTCGAAAATTTTTGAAAAGTCACGAGTAGATCTTCACGCATCATCAGGGTGGGGAAAAGAATTTGATTTTCATATATATGGTTACGTGGGGAAGGGAACACGACCAACATTTCCTTATTAACCTAGAGTAACCGAGAGTGTAACCAAAAGGCGCACGTTCGATCATCATCCACAGCACGGGATATAGTATAGTGTCACACATTTCATTTCATTCATTCATTTTAATGTTAAAAAATGGGTGTGGCGCAAATAAACAATGAAAAAAGATAACGGTTTATCATTATAAAAAAAAATTTAATCCTATTTTTAGCCTTAAATAAACAGTAACGATAACAAGTAAAATAGTGAATGACATCATTTCCGATATCCGAAAAAAAAAAAATACAAAAATGTGGCAGATTATCATATCAAAAAAAAAAACAAGACATTTCCGAGTCTTGGTCTTTAAAGAGAAGGCATTAACCGTGCTTTTAAAGACAAATAAATAAATTTATAAACAAATTTTTTTGATAGACATAATATATGCCAGGTGAAGCAAGACAAAAACCTGGAAAACGGATATCATCGATGATACATCAAGAATGGAAAAAAGCCACAAGGGATTATTACAGTAATAAACCATGTATGCTATAAATAATAATTCAAGAATGTCGATAATAATGTCGCTAATAATGTCAATGTCATTAACATTAATACTGTCAATAATGTCGATAATATGATAATACTAATGACAATAATAATATAATAACGATAATAACGATAATATAATAACGATAATAAAGATAATATAATAACGATAATACGTATAATAATAACGATAATATTAAAAATAATATTAATATTAATACAATATATATATAATATATAATCAATATAATTCAGTAACGATAATATAACATTCAGTAATATTCAATAACAGGTAAGATAATAATTCGATAAATGGTATAAGAATAATTCTATAATGATAATGATAATGATGATAATAAAGCTATAATAATGCTATAACTAGATTAACTAGAATATTACGAGGCGGGAAAATGATGAAACAACAAAATGGGAAAAAATTCATAGATGTTTTTAATTTTAGAAATCCATCTATTAATGATATAATTAGAGTCGTATGGAAGATGTTTACTAATTGTTTATTCTCATGGCGATTTGTTTATCAAAACATTTTCCATTTTAATAATTTTTTCATTCTACTTTAATCTTTGTGTCATACTCAAAGCCCCTGCCTTTACAATTCCATTTTTTTTCATGCTAAACATGTATCATAGCGGGAGCGGGAGGAATATTCAAGCCAAGATATTCAATTAATTAAATTATTATTATAAAAATTTTTCAAAAAATTTTCAAAGAATGTCAAAACATTATAGAATTATAAGTTCCCACCTTTCTTTCCATCTTTTTTTTTTAATGCTTTCATGTTTGTTTGTTAATTCCTCACTTTAACGCAAAGTTTAAGTTTGTCAACAATCCTCCAAATTTTATACCATTATACCATCACACAAATAAGTTACTTTTATGGTGTTAATAAGTCATCGTACATATAATATTGCCAAACATAAATTAATAATGTGCTGCAAATCAATTGAGCATCTTTTGTCACCGCCACGTTCTTTTTCTATCCATCCACCCTGCATCATATATATCGGACTAACCAAAACGATGCCTTTCGTCGATTTTCCCTAAACGGATTTTATTATTATTTAAATGTTTTTACTTTCTTATTCAATTCCTCAGCCTCAAAATAACCTCAGTCTTCCTCATATGTTCTCAGACATGCTCAGATATGATATTATTATTATTATTAACGTTAAGTGATGTATTAAATATTGTACATATCAAAAGATACAATATATATTAAATTTGTATCAGGATACAATATATTTTAGTAGATGTATCAGATACAGTATAATACAAATGTATCAGATGTAATAATAGATATCATAATACGTATCATGTAACTAGATACAGTATATGTAACCATATATGAATAAAATTCTGCGTAAGTATTCTTGATGGAACCGTCGTGTTACGATTGTTGTGACAATCATTAGAAATGTTAAGAAAGACTGTTACGATCATTATTATTATTACAAAGATATTATTATAATCAAGTAAGTCGTTATATGTCGTCGTTATATGTCTTTTTATAATATAACAATGAAATAAAAAAAGTTCATATAACGTTTCATGATGATAAAGGTTTAAAAAATAAATGATTTACAATAATCCTTTTTTTTTTTTTAACAATGTTCTTATAATAATCACAATAAAGAGATTGTTATCGGATGCCTTTTTTCCGCACATTTTTTTTAAAAAACAATGTAGGATATTAAACGCGATATTTTCCGTGTACGATCGTGTGATCAATCGGTAACAGACCCCCGTAAAAACGCATTCAATCAGCAAATGAATTCAAAACACCACAGATGACGACAACGTTAATTAGTTTCTTATCCCTCGATTTGATTTCTCAATTTGTATCGATTTCATATGATATGATTTAATGTATCCCATAAATGTATCAATTCTTGCATTTTTTTTTTAAATATATTTATTATTATTATTATTATTGTTGTTGTTTATAGGTTCCGTAATTTGCCTTGTGCTCACCTGAACATACCATGCTTTACTTACCTTCGAAATGTTAATATTTTTAATGACTGACGTTTATGAATGCTAGCCCCAAACGGCTTAACTTTACATCATATCAGGAAAATATCCTATCCTATCACTGAGAAATACTAAATTTAGCCCAAGCCCCGACCTTCATAATCTGGTTGTGACACGTGATTCGGTCATTCCGTCAATAATATACTGCTAATATACTGTTAATATACTGTTAATATACTGTTAATATACTGTATATATTGATATTGTTAGTAATTAAAAGATATTATTATTATGTGTCGATAGATGTATAGTTACGATGGACGTATAAGTTATCATTATATTTATTACATTATCTGATATTAATGTTAATAATAAATTAGTATTGGGATTATTAGTTTTGTCTTTTTTTTTTTTTTAGTTATTAGTTATAGATTTTTAAGATTATAATAAATTAGTCATGATTTACTAACCTATATTATATAATAGTTGACATAATATTGTGCGTACATAATATTGTTTTTTGTACTTGTAGGTTTTATGTATCACCAAGCTGTCACTAAGGAATGTGCAACGTTTTTTTTACAAAGTTTAGTATTGGATAAAATTTTAGGTAAAGGATAAGTACTTCACTAGGTATGTAAGTACATACGATCATGTAACATTTTTTTATCTGAAAAAAATGTGATCGAAATCGTAACTATATCTTTTTTAAAATTTATTCGTTCAATTCTCCTAAAAAAAAAAATATCGATTTTTTTTTTGTATACCTTTTTAAATTTCGGTATATTTTATATATATATATATTCTATATATTCTATATATTCTGTTTATTCTGTATATTTAGTCTGTATTTTTTAAATTTTAGGTTTTTATAATTTTTTCACACTTTGGCATTCACCGACACGATTCTCTTAATGCCGAAAATACCGAAATCTTCAATTTTTTGGTTTAAAAGTGTTAATTTATAATTTATATGGATTTTTTTGATAAGAAAATATTTAATTTTTTTTTTTTATAAAAAAATAAAAATGTCAAATGCAATGCTTATACGGATTTCTCTGATAAGTGATAAGGCATATGCTCGCATTGAATTGTCAAAAAAGGTGCTTTTTATTTTTAATTTTTTTCTATTAATCTATTCTATTTTTCCATTTTTTTTTTTTTCGTTCGTGGCTACCGAGCATTTTTCTTCTTTGCTATTAAAATATTGTTGTATGATTTTATACTTTGTATATAAGATTTACTTACTACATTTTTTTTTATTACATTTATATTATATTCATATTATATTCATATTACATTCGGTGGGTTTGTACGTTTAGCTCTTGTTTCAATATATTTATACATAATAATAATAATAATAATAATATATATATATACATGAGTATATAATATGATTTATAACGTTTATGTTATTCGACTAATCTCTTTATATTTTATTACCTCGAATTTCGAGAGTTGTTTAAAGTTTAGACGTAGTATTATCTTTAATATGATAGGTCAATACATTTTGGGTTATACATGTATAATTTTTAATGTATCAGTATTCAAAATTGTATACTCCTTAAATTTATTTAATTTATTTATATAATATATATATATGTGTACTTTTTACAACTGTACTGCGATAATAATTTATACAATCACTTCATAATTGGTAGAACAAAAAAAAAAGTATATAAAAGCTTATATATAGTTGAGAATTTTGAAAAATTTTTATAAATCTTCAAAAATCCCGTAAAAAATTTTTTTTTCTAATCTTCGTTTAGATTTCTTTTTTACCTCTCGCCGAAATATTATCAAATCTTTGATAATATTAAAAAAAAAATAAAAATTTTTCCATCTATTTATTTTAAATATATATATTTGTGGATTAGTGCTTTATAACTTACCCGCAAGAAACCTTCAATAATAATAATAATACTGAAGAGCATAAAGTGTCTCGAAAAGGTACTTTAAAAAAAAAAAGTTTTTTGTTTTTTTATTATTACTTTATTTTTTTATATTTCTACGATTCTTTTATTTGTCTTTTTCTTCTTTTTAACTTCTTTCATGTTACCTTCAAAACTTTCGAATTCTACTTCGTTTTTTTTCGTTCGATCCACGTGATTCGAATTTATTTTAAAATTTTGATTCGAAATGAATTTAGACTATCTCAATAAATATTATTTCCAATTTATTATATTAATATCCTTTCTTTTTTCATTTTATCTTGTCATTTTTTCGAAATTTTTTTACTTACCCCGATCGATTTTTTTTTCTAACCGTACATTTTATCCTCATTTCTTTTTCGGTTAATTTTATTATTCTTATATTTTATTTAAATATGACTTAAATGATATTAATATTATTATTAAATAATAGTTTTTTTTACAAAATTACTAATCTATTTTTTTTCCTATATGTTTATTCTTTAATTATTATTTATAATTAAAAGCTAATAATACGATGCCGGCCACCTCACCTACCGTACGTCCTTCAAAATCATCCATACATCTCCCGAATAAGGACGTACTCGGACGACAGGTATGTAAAAAAAATATATTTGGGGTGTTTTTTAAGGGGGAAAATTTTGGAATAATTTAAAGTTAGAAAAAAAAACAAAAAAATGAAATAAATTTAAACAAACATGTGACTATAACCTAGAAGCCGCAGTACTAGGTCACGTTATAAAGATAATAAAAATATTATATTATATGTAAAATATATATCTAATACATATATAATATTATGTATATTAACATATATATATTATGTATATGTATATGTATATATATCCATATCCATATGTATATAAATATAACTATAACTATATATAACTATAAATAAATAATATGAGATAGTAGTAATAATAAAATAATAATAATAATAATAATAATAATAATAATAATAGTAATAATTAATTATAATAATTATAAATAATGTATCATGGTAAATATCTTTTTTTAATTATTCGTCTCTCCCTTTGTAATTCTTAGGGCGCGTTCGTCACATCAACCCGAAACACAAATAGCATGTATAGCGCTCAGGCCATAGCAGTAAAGGTGATTATTAATAACATGATAACATGATTTATTTTCATAAGTGTAATGTAATAATTTCTAACATAAAAAATATTATTTATTATCTTTTAGGAATCATATCAAGGAATACAAAATACATCATCCGAGGCTAAAAAGAAGGTAATATTCATATAGTCAAGTATCACGGTATCAAGACCGCGCTACAATACAGTACGTTTAAGGTAAAAATTTTTAGATTGGAATATTCTCAACAAAATTTTATTAACACTCAATATATCATTGAATTTATTATTAGACTCCTCAGAGACCTATCACCCCTTCACCTTTTGCCAAAAATACAACCGAGGGAAATAAACCCGTTTCCAAAAAAATAATAAGATCAAAAGATGATTCACTTTCTGTTCCACCTGGTCCTACTCTCAAAACTGGTAATTCCAGACCAGTTACGCCTCATGGTGCTCAACCATCTGGTAGACCTGTCACCTCAAAAGAAAAAAGGCCACCAAGTATTTTAAAATCGGATAAAAAGAAACTTCCTCAAGATACTATAAAACAATCCGGTTCTAAATCATCTGTCATAACACAATCTGTTTCTCCTCCTGCTCCAACCTCCGCTCATGCTACTTCTCATCAAGCATCTGCTCATCGTCGTTCTCATGAACGTGTTGCTTCCCCTGATAAATCTTTATTAGAAGAAAACAGAAAATTAAAACGCCTCCTAGATGAACGTGAAGAAATGTTACATGAGAAAGAAATTGAATTACAGGACGCTGCGGATATTATTGAAGCTTTATCCGCTCGTGTTGAACAATTCCAACGTGACAATTCATTATTACGTGAACAATTAGCTTCATCTAATTCAACTTCTAACCTATTGTCTGCTATCTCCAATAATTATCAACGTATTCGTGGTGATTCTCCTAATACTATTTCAACTTCTCCATCTCCTACCCCTACCCCTAATTCCTCTTCATTTATTAATCCTTCTTCTAAACTTGATGTTCAACCTTCCCTTTCCCCAAAAACCACTTCTCCTCCTTCCGTTGGTAAAACCACAAAAATTAGAGATTCTGATGTAGACAATACTGATTATGTAAAAGAGGCTTCTCAACCCATACCAAAAATTATAGAACCTATTAATTCTGTTAGACCTCATTCTAGAATTTTAGATAAACCTATGAATCCTAATTTATCACCTTTCTCGTATAGACAGGAAGGAATCGCTGGTAAACGAGATCTTCAATTCGCAAAAAGGGAAGCTGCCGTTAAAGATGTAATAATGGAAGATTCGGATGAAAGTGAAACTGATGAATTCTTTGATCATAATAATGATAATATACCTAATGATCAAGTTGAATCTGAGAATGAAATTGATGAAGATGATGAAATCGGACTTCCACAAGACGTTTTGAATCTAGTTGGTCGTAATGTTAATGATCATAATACTGATCATCATGAAGTTCCAAATTATATTAATGATGATGATGATGGTGAATTACCCAATGAAACTCAAAATGCCTCGTCGAAATGTGATTTAGATGCTATTATTGAAGAAGAGGAAGATGATGAAGATGATGAATTTGAATTGGATCCTTCAAATCCACATCATATGCGACAAAAACCTTTAAATTCCATTGTTCAACCTTCTGGAACTCCAAAAGAAGCCGAAGTTTATAATAAAATGTCACCACGTCGTCTTCGTCGTTATCGTGGTGATTTAAATGAACCTTCTACCCTAACTGTTGAACAGTCTAATGTTAACTCAACTGAAGGTTCTGCTTCCGGTAAAAATGGTCAATCGGTCTTATCATCATCACAACAAATTTCTTTAAAGGTTAATGGTAATGTTTCTAATACAACACAACAACGATCTCAACCTCGTACAACTTTTTTATCGGTCTCATCTAAAGATCATCTTTCACCAACATCTTATTCACATCTTCATCCCCATCGTGATTCTATGTCTTCTGTTACTTCCGATTCATCTGACGATCTGGGATTATCAAACAATGGTTCTTATTCATCTTCAGTCACCTCTTCATCTATTAACGACGACGAAAATGGTTTCTCAAAACAAACTCCAGTTTCAAATCCTCAATCATCATCTGTTCCAAAAGCAATGGCTTCTTCTCAACCTACCACTGGATCTTTAAATAAATCCAAACTTAATGTTTTAAATGCCTTAAACTCATCCTCTCGTGTTAAAAACTCTGGTCTGGCTTCCAAATTAAACTCGGATATTCCCTCTTCTGATGAACGATGTCCAACACCGGTTCCTCATAATCGATCAAATTCATCTGGTCGTAATGTCAATGATGGTCATACCTCAGCTACTCGTCGTATCTCTAGTTCTGTGGATTCTTATCGTTCTTCATCTCCATCTCCGGCTTTATCCCATCAACGACCTTCTCCAAATTCTGGAAAAAATGGTTTGGTTCGCCCAGTTAGTCAAATTGTTTCCGATTCAAAAAATAGGTCGCCTTCAACACTTCTTAGACAAGTTACAGCTAATCGTCAAACTTCGTCTCCAATTCCATCATCAAACCGTTCTTCGACCCCTGCTCGCTCTCAATCACCTGCTCTGACTACATCGTCACGTGCTTCGACCCCTGTCACAGAATCTAATCATTCTGTGTCAAGTCAACCTCGACGTAGTCGTCCTAATGAAAATGTTGATCCTTCTATTCCACGTCCACCACCTCCATTGCCTTCACCAGCATCTGACGCTGATGTTACAACCATTCAAAATTACCTTCGACATTATCTCCGTTTAATTGCTGATTATAGCACAATGGATAACCCTCTTAAATTTTATGATCTTAAAGGGGTTATCGATGAAGGATCATCTGCTAAAGTATATACAGCTCATCCATTAGCTTCTATTGAAGATGAGGTCGCTGTAAAGATAATCCCTCTTGCATATTCTTTGGAATTCATTTTTAATGAGATTTATGTTCTTAAACATCTCAAACATAAGAATATTGTTGGATACAAAGAAAGTTTCTTAAGATGGGATGGTGATATTCGAGAAGTATGGTTTGCTATGGAAAAATGTGCTCGTGGTGATGTTACTAATCGTGCCGGAAAGATTACTCCCCGTGAAGTTAGTCGAATCACTGGAGAGGTAAGATTATATTTTCGATTATTAATCATTTTGTTTTAAACTTTATAAAATTTAAATTTTTTAATTTTTAATTCTTAATTTTATAGATTTTGAAAGGTTTAAAACATTTACATTCTCATGGTATTATCCATCGTGATATTAAACTCTCCAATATCTTGGCTACTGCCGATAATGAAATTAAACTTGGTATGTATTAATTTTAAATATCATGTATATGTTTATATTTTACAATATATAATATATTAAAAAAAAAAAAAAATTTTTTTTTTTTTATAGCCGACTTTGGCATCTCCTCATTGACACCTACATCGACCACTTCCGAAGTTGGTACGATTCCATACATGGCTCCCGATGTTATCCGGGTTGCTTCCGACCGTCCTTATGATACCAGAGTAGATATCTGGTCTTTGGGTATCTGTGTTTTAGAACTTTTAACTGGCAAAGCCGCCTGGGGACGTGCTAGTGATAATGAAATTAGGGATAAACTACGTAATGGTGAGAAACCTTATGGTTTTCAACGTTTACGTGGTAAGAAAGATGATATCGGAATCGGATGGGAAGCTATTGACTTCTTGAGTAAATGTTTCATCGAAAATTGTAAAGATAGGTGGTCTGCCGAGAAATTGTTGGATGTATGTATTTTTGTTATTTGTTTATATATATATATTATTTAGTTATTATTGAATTAATTACTCATTTAAAAATATAATTTATTTTAAATCTTTAATAGCACCCATTCATCACTAATAACCGTTATTAAATTGGCAATCGAAATTCAAACGAAATTGGCAAAATTGACAAAAATCTGAATTTTTAATCTGATCGACAAAATCTGAACGACATAATCTGAACTCTCGAAAATAAACATTTTTTTTAAAAAAAAAAAAAAAATCCGAACTTTAAACAAAAATTTCCCTTTTTTCTTAACATCACTTTTCTATGAGTGGTCCTAAATTCGCAGGATCACATCCAATGACGGTCGCTTATTTTCAATGAGGAGTAAAAAAAATTGCCCCCATAACCTGGCATTTTTTTTTATCATTGTCCCCTTAAGTCATCAAAATTTATATATTATGGTGATTTTCGTTTTCTTCCCCATCGCTTTTCCTTTCCCTTCCCCTTACGTTTTTTCTTTTCTATCACTAGATAGAACATATTATTCGATTATAGATAAGGATAAACCATAAAAAAAAAAAAAAAAAAAAAAGGAAAAAATACCAATTTAATTTTGATCATTTATTACAGTAGCTCAATTTAGATTTGATTATAATGAAATGAAATTATTCAATGTCTTTTATCTATACTTGTTCTTTATATATTGGTAACATGTCTGTATTTTTTACTTTTTTGCAAGCCTTTCACTCTTAACACGCATTCAATATCATACGCATCATACACACGCGACGTATAAGCATTATGCCATGTTAGCATAACTTATGCATCATACGTCTAAGTACTCACACTTTATTAATCATGCGCACAAAACTCTATCTGGTCTTTCTTCACGCAAACGACAAACGAGGAACGACCGTAGTCAGCTTACTTTATACGAACTTCGGTTCTCCTTATTGTTGAATTCCAGTCCTGCACTCTGACGCTATACGCAATAAAGGTCTTTCACAAGCAAGTCACGTCACATAACATTTTTTGTTCAAAGCGCGGATGGATCATTTATGTTTCCCGCGTATATTTCCTTTTGCGACAAGTTTTTCTGCAGTCATTTGGATTTTCCATTTATCATTTATTATTTTGGTTAGTGTTATGATTATTATTGGGTTTTTTTTTTCTTTTTTCCTTTGTTAATCTTGTGCTAATTAATTTTTAATATATATCACCTATCACAGATCAAATAAACACTACAAATTTATACACTTTCTGAACATCCTAAAAGAACGTTATATTCAATTGACGAATTTAAGACTTGTAGACGCGGTGGAAGTGTGATGTAGCAAATGCTTGAATATTTCTACGAAAAATCGAGTATTATTAATTTCGATTTATTTGTCGCGATACGGCGTTAATGATGTGTATTCAGGATGCATCAATTATTTGTGTGAGGAAAGATGAGTGTTGGGTTTTTGTGTATTATATTTTTATATATATATATTTTTTTAAGTTTTTTTTTCGTCGCATGTGGATACTTTTTAAGTTTTTTTTGTGGGGAAGGGAAAAAAAAACTTTTTTGCATGTATTTTTTTGCATTTTTTGCATTCATTTTTTTTGTTTTTTCTTTTTCCTATCATATAGGATATCAATTTTTCATCAGCATTGCTTTTTGGAATCATTTTAATCATTTCCAAGATCATTTGCATTTTGTATATTTTTCAATCAATCAAAGAGTTTTTTTTTAAAAAAAAAACAAAGAATCAAAAGATTGCTTGTTCATCTTTTTGTTGCATATATATCTACTTGTTAGAATTAGAAAGCATTTTTCGACTACTATATGACTGGTTGATGTGGAAGTTGATAATTTAAAAAAAAAATATCAAAATAACAAAAAAAAAAAAAACCAAAAAAAAAAACTATACGAAAACATAAGGAAAAAAATAAGAAAAGGAAAAAGAAATCAAAAAAATTGATGTAACTCATTTCTTAACTCACTTTCATTCATTCGTTAAATTAAAATTCAAATATCTGTTCTTTTTTTTTTTTTTGATCATAGATAAATATATCTGTAAAAAAGTTCTTAGAGGTCAAAATAGATATACAATTATATAGTTAAACATAAACGTTAGTATTCTTTTAATACATGTACTATTAGTTCGTTTATTATTTATTCATATATATTATTGTATCATAATAATGAAAAGTATTTTATTTATTTAATATTTTTTTAACTGCCTAAAAAGTATTATTAATCTTAAAAAATTAAACTAATATTTTAATCTTTAATATAATTAATTTATTTGAAAGTATATACGATACGTATAAATATATAACTATATCTTAGTTTTAATCTTGCTAACAATTAGTAGTATATACAATCATATCAATATTGCCTTAAAAGTACATCTGTACGCGTGCAAATGGTATTTTTAACGTGAAAAATTACATAAGGATAATGGATAATTAATAATAAATCTTGTTTATCGTTATCAATGATTGACGGATTTACTAAAAACGCACAATAGATGTTGAAATCATAATTGTTATATTTCAAGTAATCGGTACTCGCCATATGATGTTTTGTACCTTATGGCATGTTTACTATTGCTTTAACATGCTTTTGAAATTCTTTTTACAGGTTTTACACAATATATACATTCAAATTTAATAGGTTATATTTAAATTTAGATCTTATTAATTTTAAAATTCAAATCTTGTTTATACTGTACGTATGTACGTGCGTACGTACTTATTCGTACGTATAATTGCTAAAAAATTACCTAATGCTAAGTTTTAATCTATGTTAGCATCGCATCTATTTACGTATATGTATGTTTTTTTTTTTATTTTAAGATTTTGTGCGTTTAAGTTTTTTATTTAAATTTTTTAAATTAATTTCACAAGTTTATAAAATTTTTTAAAAAAATTTTATTAAATTTAATTAAGTTTTTGTTAAGTTATTCTTGTTCAAAGTTGCAAAAAAATTTTATTATAAAAATTTTGCTTAATTTTTATTAATTTATCTCATACATTAATATATATTTGTTTTTTAAACAAAGTTTATAAAAAGTAAAATTTTTTAAAAATTTTCTGTATAGTAAATATTAATATTTAGTAAAAATAAAAAGGATTTATAAAAACAAAGTTAAATAAAAAAGATACTAATATAAAAAAATCTATAAACTTTATTACAAATCTAAAAAAAATAAACTAAAAAAATTTGCTAACTAAACAAAATTTTTATCTACAATTGCATTTTTCTAAGTGCATTCTATCAGAATCATAGTAAAAAAAATTAAAATTTTATACTTAAAAAGGTTTGCATTTATAAAAAACAAAAATATATAAGGTTCTTATAAGTTGAAACTAAACTATATTATGCACTTAAAAAGGTTTTACATAATACTTGCACTTAAGAAATATGTATTTAAAAAAATATAATTATATACAAATTAAAAAAAACTTTATATAAAGTAAAAAATAATAAAATTATACTATAGTCTATACTAAAGTTTAAAAATTATATATATATAAATTAAACAATAACTAAAGTTGTACGAGTAGCTAGTTGTACACTCTCTCCATGGTTGCTCCCTGTGGTTGTAAAGCAATTATTAGCCAAATATACTATCAATAAAATCCTGGATCACAAGTACTCACCTTAATATTTGAAAAAAATTATATATATATCATATAAAGTTTAAAAATTATATATATTAAATATAATTTCAAAATATTATATATTTTATAAATTTGATTATTTTATTTTTTTTAGTTAGATTTAAACTCTACTATTTTTCTATTTACTTAAATTATTTAACAAAAAATTATAAAAAAAAGAAAAAACTTTAACTTGATTATAAAAAGTTAGTATAGAGTACTAGTTAGTTCAGAAACAGTATTAACAGATTTTTAGTAATTTAAAACATGTGTATAGTTATATTTATATTATTCTATTATTTTTGTTCTATATTGTTAACAAACTTATTTAAGAAATAAATACTTTTGATTATTTTGGTAATTTTACATATTAATTTTTAAAAGAAAATAAACTAAATTACTCACTTTTTACAAAATTTTTCTTAAAAAAAAATAAAACTGAGAAATAAACCAACTTTGTAAGTTTTATAGTTCCAAAATGTTTTAAAACTATTATTATAAAACCTATTTTAATATTCAACTATATATATACAGTACTTCAAAAAAGTTTTTATAAAACTTAATATATTAACTATATTATTTTTTTGTAGTTCAACTTTTGAAAAGTTTAGTTCAGATAATTATCAAAAAGAGTTTATTGAAATCAAAATATTAAACTATTAAAAATTTTATATAATTTTAACTACTGTATATATAAAAAATTATTTTAAAATTTAAATATTATTACAAAATAGCTTATCAATATAATATAATATATTATATTATTAATATTTTTTTTAAATTTTAATGATAAATTATTAATAATTATTATATATTTATTATTAGTTATTAGCATAGTTATTTTATAGTATATAGTAGTTAGATAAAAAAATCTTAATTAATTATTTGAATTGTAATATAATTATATAATACTAAATAATATTTATAATAATAATATTATTATACAAATCTCAAATACTTTTATACAAATTTTATATATTCTAATACAAAATTATTATGCTAAATATTACAATACAAAAATTTTAAGTATTTTTTATACAATATTTAAGTATTTTTATACAATTTTCAAGTATTTCTATGCAATTCTAAGTGTTTCTATATAATTTTTAAGTATTTTTACACAATTTTAAATGTTTTTGTACAAATTTAAGTACCTTAACATGCACTTTAAGTATTTTAAATACAAATAACAAATATTTATAAATATTGTTTCAACTATTTTTACACAAACCTTACTTATTATTATACAAATCTCTATTACTTTCACTAAATAAAAAAATATATAAAAAGTATTTTTTCTTTTTTTTAGTTAATTTTAAGTTTCAATACTTTAACTCAAATATAATAATTTTTTAAATATAAAATATAGTATTTTTTTTTAGAATAATATATAGTATTTTCTTTTAAAGTAATTCTTATAAACAAGATTGTTATAATATGTTTGTTAATAAAGTTTAATCTATATATTATTATTATTTTGAACTGTTTATTTATTGCTATATAATAAAGTAAACTACTATACTTTTATACTATATATATTTGTAATAATTAATTACTATACTAGATAACCTTATTATTTAGTTGTATTGTATCAAGAAGGCTGCAATTCTATTTCTTAAAATGTAAACTAATGCAGACAAATTTGTTGACAAATTTGTCTGCAAATTTGTACTTTTTAGTTCTAATTTATTTTTTTAAAATGCTAATATATTTAAATAAAATTTGGTATAATAATATTTGAAAATAAGAATTACTTTTTTGCAGTATTTATTTTAAATTATAAGAAAAAAAATTTAGATTACTTATAAACAAAAAATATATAATTTTAAAAAATATTTTTAATAAAAAAATATTTTTAGTTTATATATAATAAACTTTTTAAATATTAATTTAAACTTATAGTTTTTAATACAACTTCTTAGTTTATATTAAATATTATAATTTTTTTTTTTTTTAAAGGCCATACTTTGTGGCAATACTTTATTGACTTTTATTAGATTAGCTATTACAACTATTTTTACAGAAATAAAAATACAACTAGTCACATATGCAACTTTTGGTTGCCTATTTAAGTAGTCTACTCTAAGGTTCTACACTAGATGCTGTACCTATAACCTACTAGAAGATTATCCATTTAAACTCTCTGATCATTCGTCTTGTCATGATGTAACCCCAACTTACTCTCTGTATATATCTAACTGGTATACTGTTTGAGCAGTATGGTATCTATCTTTTTTGTACTGGTTCTTAGACTGTTATATATTTTAAAGTACATCACCTACTAGTAAGATGCAAAAGGCCTCTTATTGTTAACTATCTATTCATTTTTAGAACACTAACAAGGGCTACCCTTACAGAGTTTACCCAGACCTTAGAACTGATTTTATAGCATATCTCTATTACTTTTAGTATACCTTTGCTTTGAACCCAGACTTTTAATTCAAATAGTCTAGAAGAACTGTAACCTGTCTTTGGTATATTAAAGTCAGCCCAATATTCTTTTTCTCTAGTTTGAAATCCAGTAGCCTAGTTGGTGATACCTCTCATCCAAGGTTCTTGCTTGCCCGATTTCTTTATATTGGTATTTATTTCCTAGATCTAGTCTTTACAGTAATATCATCAAAGATCTGTGTTATCTTTCTGCTTAAAATTTCCAAGTAAGCTTCAGCTTCTCAGTTCTATGGATTTATATAGTCTAAGAACTTATTTTAGGTTTGCACTACCTGGTACTAGTTTGCATTCCTCTATGTAACTAATATTACACAGATGTCCCAAACCTGTCAGTTATGCTGGTGTGATCATAGTTACAAGTATCTTATCTCAACTAATTAACAGAATGTCATCACTATAATACTGTCTATATATTATATAAGTAATTATTTAAACTTTGCATTAATGGATTTTAAACTCACAACTTACCACTTAGGGGTATAACAACTTATCTACTTCACTAAGTCACTACATTCTTAATATTATAATTTTAATTATTACAAGTTTAATAATTTATATATAAAAATTAATACTTGCAATAAGAACAAAATTTTTTTTAGTTTCAAAAATATATAAAATTTTAGAAAGCTTAAAAATTATTTTAATAATAAACTTTAATATTATACAGTCTTTAAACTTTAATAAATTAAAAATTTTTTAATAAATTTAAAAAAGTTTTTTAATAAAGTTTATAAAGTAGATCTTTAAAAATATTTTTTACTTAAAAAGTATATTGCTAAAATTAATTATTAAAGTTTTATTACAAAAATTCATTATTAAAAAAAGATGCAAACAAATTTGTATACAGTACAATTTAAAAGGTAACAATATGAATGTGGTGACCTAGTGAAGTGGTCAGATTGTCAACTTCCAAGTGGCAGATCCAGAGTTCAAATCTCAGTATTAACAAAAAATTTAAAAATTTTTCCTGTTTATGATTAACTGTCTCTTGCAATTGGTTAGGATAAAACACTTGTTATCTATGTTATACTAGCATAACTGGCAGGTTATATGGCATTTGTGTAACAGTCATATGACATTGTCTGTTGGGACAAGGTCTGTGGTTATATAAAGAAATGCAAACTAGTACCAGATAGTTCAAACCTACAATAAGTTCTTATAACCATGTAAATTATAAAAACCAAAAGAAGAATGATGAAAGCCCACTTAAAAGACCTGAGTAGAAAGGTAATCTGAACTTTTAATAGTATTACTGTAAAGACTAGAACTATAAAATAGAGCTAGAACTTGTAAAACTGAGCAAATATACTAGTCTTTGAGAA